TTACAACAGCATATTTTAATATTCACTCACAGTAAAACGTGTAACTTCTGATAGCTTAGCAATTCGGAGCATACTAATTATATTTGTTTACTTTTACATTTATAATACCCTCACTCATCCCTAATTTAGCAAAGTTTACATTAATACAAATTCAATAAAAAAAGAATGATAGAAATCAGTAAGGAAACATCAAACTTATACATGAAATAAAAAAAGAAAAATAATTTATTTAGCATGAACAATTAGGAAAAAAAAGCAAAGATATGTACACTAATTAGGAAAAAATAATAATAATACAAAAATTAAGAAGGTACAAAAAAAACAGCATACTAATACAACAATGTTGAGTTTAGGAACTAAATTAATTCTTACCGTATAAAGTAATAATTTATAGAATCAGGTGTTACTTTGCGGTAATCCATGACATTAAATGTTAGTTTTATTCCAAAAATATTTAGGTTTTATTCCGCGACAAAAATCCCCAGGCTTGTTGCATATGCATGATTGCATAACAGTGGGATTGCATCCTGCAACAAGCCTGGATTTTTGTCGCGGAATAAAAACTAAATATTTTTTCTAACATTTAAAGTATGAAATAATAAAAAAGTGCTTAAACAACTAAAAATTTGAACAGAACAAGAAAACAGCATACCCATTGCCAAAAAGGTTGCCATCTCAGTATAAGTTGTGCTCAATAAGAACCCAATACTGGTTTTCAGTTGGCACCCTTGCAGTTACGTACGGACGGAAGCAAAACAAATCTCAAAAAATTATACAATTCATGGATATTTCTAAAGTAAGAGAGAGAGGAAAACGGAAAAATATAAATAATATTTATAAAATAAAAATAAAACCATTTATATAAATAACAACTAATATATTACATAATATCATAAGCAATTTGCATCCCGTAAATAAAAAAAATAAAAAACAGAAAGAAATGATATCAAACGTGTGTTGTTAGAATATTGAGGGTGACGGACAAGTGATCGCAGAATTGTCAAAATTTGTGCAAAATGTCATTCGATGAAGTCGTTATGTTGGTGAAACGAGTAATGGATGTGGAATGTAACAAACTGACAATTTACTACCGCAGACATCGAAGGAATTATAGGTAAGTTTGCAAGGCGTTTTTAAATCATTACAGAAATGTCAAATATCATAAAAAGTAAATGAAAGAAATGTCCATACCGATTCCCTCACTGCCGATTTGTGAGTTAATAATAAAGTCTTTACTTTAAAACTATTTACACTTCGCAATAAGTCGCTATATATATACTGTAAGTATGGGCCGTTTCGTTATTTTATCAGCTTTGCACCCGTGCAAAGCTAGGGCGGGTCGCTAGTTTCTAAATTAAATCTCACAGCTGGGCTAAATAAAAACAGAATACAAAGTTTGACATGCTTTTTGATTCAAAACAAGCGTGTAAATAAAGAAAATATATCAATTTACAATTTGCTATTTCCACCACTAGTAAAAAGACGGACGGATGGAATTATTCTAACAATACTTATAACTGGTTTAATAAGCCCGTCAAACAATCGTAAAATTCGTGGAAGTGTTTACGTCATATACGATTACTTAGATTTTTACGAGACCTCTGATCCTAATTGCGACATCGCAACTTCTTTGGCAAACATTTTATTTTTTATAGGATAATTTTTGACTGTAAGCCATTTTGGCTGTTTGGCAATGATCATTGCTTTGAACACAGATGTCTGGTTCTGGTCGGGCGTCAATCACTTTTCTGAGGTCACGGCGATGCTCAGCCCAGGTAGGGCATACCGTCACCGTATGCTCTACCGTATCTTCTCAGTTGTCCTCACAATGACAACACTCGGGCGTTTCCTCCCGCTGCTCCTGATTCTTTTAGTGCAAACCTTGTACTCAATATTTTTAATAATTTAATATCCTTTGACATTCCACATTAAATCATATGTTGGTAAAAGTAATATAAATTTTAGTAACAATGATAATAATCAAATTCCATAGTTATCATATTATCTTCCAGTTCATTACCACCCACGCCCATAGCCGTATACTATACCATATTGCACAAAAGTCCTACATTAACTGGGGATTGCCCTTGAATAATGTCTCATTTCACTGCTACAAAAGTTGTTCAAAGGGCCCCTGCGAGTTGGCTTAGCCTCGTACACCTTCCAATGGTCGAGGACCCTGTAATCCCGTGATTGAAAGCGGGCATACAAAATAATACTCATTTGTCTCCGGACCTAAATTCTAAATGTATATGTCGGAACGACGATTATTTAAATTGAATTTTGAAGGAGGTTTTATCACAATTCATCGGACGAGGGTACCATAAATCGTACTCTGGCGGAACGTCAAACTGGCAGTTCTGCGTGCGCATTATGGTGGGGAGCGAGCGCTGTGACTGTCATAGGAGGCGGATCGCCGACGTCCGTTATTTTTGTAATTTATTCGGCCTGATTATAAAATCCTACGCCCTGCAATGGACTGTGAAGACGATGATCAGGATGTTGATGTTTGTACCAACCCCCCGGTGCCTTCATCAGAAGTGGGATTTGATGGGAAACCATCTGATAATCCGAAAGAACGACCTGTAACTGACGCGGATGAAAAAGGGGCACGCAGTCATCTGTTTTTCATGCCACGTTTCTACTGCTTGCTTAGAGAAGAAGATCAGCGGTGTAACATTTGAAGAAGTCATCTTTTGCCATAGATCTTCTAAAGGCGTGATGGAGACATCTACGGGTGAGAAAGTTCCATTTCTTTGTGATAACGGATCATCTTCCTTATTATCTGCATGGTCATAAGATTGAACCAACGACTGTAGTTATAACGAGCAAAAAAAAGTTAACAAATTAGATGTTGTTAGTTGATGGTTGTACCTAGTTTCATCTGGGTAACGTGAATGTCTGTGAATATAATTGTGAGTTGGCGTAGCTGATCATTGGGGAGGATAGTGACGTCCGGTCTATGTCACGTGGTGTCTAGTCGGAGGGACGCACTAGTCTGACCCAGGCAGGTGATCTGGTGAGCTGGTCGAAGGGATGATGTGGTCTTGCCGGAGCATGTTGGCTGGTGGTAGAGACGCATACATCCGGTCCATGCACACCAATCGCTGAGGCCGTTTCATATCGTATGGTTTGGGAAAAGTTGTTTTGGAAGTAGGTACAACTGAAAATGATGATAATGTTACATCGATGTTGAGTGCAGTAACCAGACGATGTTGAGATAGCGCATATTAGTCAGGATGAACGAGCAGCGTGCTATACACGTGGAATCTTTCTTCTGTTCCAGAACTACCACACTATTAAGATCGCTCGAGGACGAGCGAATGTCAGTCTGGCCGTGTCGGAACGACGATTATTTAAATTGAATTTTGAAGGAGGTTTTATCACAATTCATCGGACGAGGGTACCATAAATCGTACTCTGGCGGAACGTCAAACTGGCAGTTCTGCGTGCGCATTATGGTGGGGAGTGAGCGCTGTGACTGTCATAGGAGGCGGATCGCCGACGTCCGTTATTTTTGTAATTTATTCGGCCTGATTATAAAATCCTACGCCCTGCGATGGACTGTGAAGACGATGATCAGGATGTTGATGTTTGTACCAACCCCCCGGTGCCTTCATATACAAACAACAAAAATACAATCAAAATGTTGTAAACAAAGTCATTAGCGTCATTATTGAAATTCACAACTAAATACTACTTAGAAAGGTAATCTTATTATTGTAAGAATAATAGAGAAGAAATACGTAAACAACTTTTGACAAAACGAATTATCTCCTAAGCTTCGTCCCGTGTTATTGACAAGCCGTATCTCCGTCTCTTTCTAATCTATTGTTGTATCAAACTCCGCCTTCAGTTTATGAGTACTCGAGAGTGTCATCACCTACATAATGTACTGATATCTGTTCAATTACCTGCATATAAAGTTTCCATAAAATATACAGAGTATGGCTTAAATCATTCAAGTAATGAATCAAACTTTCTAAAATTTCTTGTTGTTTCAGCCATTCAAAGTGGATCTTCTCCTCGAATATAAAATTCTATATCCAAATATCCTCCATATTTGAGCAACATGTGATACCCTTATTTACATAACCATCCATTCATTCGAAGAGAACTGAACTTTGTGTGCTTTTATTTGCCCGTTATTTGTTAAGGACAGGAAGTCAATTAATAACTTTGATTTAACTTATGACATGTAATTATGCATAACATTAATGACAATATCTAGTATAAAATTATAAGCAAACCTCTGGATACGCTCATTTCTACAGAAAAGCACAAGGAACAACTATAGCACCCGAAAAGAATCCTACTAATATTAAAAAGTTTGTGAGAATTTATGGATAAATGTTTGCTATTCTCTCACGCCAACGGCTGGATCAATTTGGTTGATTTGACCAAATTGATTGGATTAACACATAGGCTACTTTTTATCAACATACCATGCGTGTAAAGCTGCGGGTTCATGCTAGTCTTATTATAACCTTAAACTAGATGTAGTTGGTATACTAGTAACCTTACCTTAAAGTAGGTGTAGTTGGTATGCTTAATTTTAAGACAGTTTGACAAATGTTGGATTACACTGTACAATCTAGCGACTTCACCCATTTCAAGCATCGGTCGGATTTGGATAAAATCGAGCATTCTTATCACTTCCTATTGTTATAGTCCTACGATCATTATGCTATAACGCCGAACAATAGAGTAATTAATAAAAGACTTTTAAATTATTGGAACAAGTGAAAGTATTTTTTATTACAAAATAAAATCATTAAGACATTGGGAAACAATTAAATCTATTAAAATATTGATTATCATTTGCTAATCGCTTAGTCTTACCTTAGACCTGTTCCCTAATTACGCACTCAATTAAGTGTTTCAAATATGTCCATATAAATTAGAACATAATCCGAAGTGGCATCATAGTCAACTGTGCTTTCACAGAGTACGTTACTTTCTTCCTTTTTATTACCTTCCGAGTCAATCTTTTTAACAAGATGAACCAACTGAACCAACCTCAGTACTCATATTGTTTGCCACAAGAGAGTGTAGCCGTGCCACTCTCAGCGACTGCGCCAAATCCAAATTATCACATTTGGCATAACGGTCAGTCCACTGGATGGCCAATAGCGAGACCTCAAGCTCCTACACTTGCCAATAAGAAACCTAAGCGAGTGAGAACTGCATTCACAACGGATCAGCTGATGGCGCTAGAAAATGAATTCAAGCAATGCCGGTTTTTGGCCCGTCCACGACGTCTGCAGCTGGCAGATATACTACGTATTAATGAACGTACCATTAAAATATGGTTCCAAAATCGGCGCATGAAACAAAAAAAGGACCTGGCAGAAAGCCAAAGCTCTTCTGCTGAGAGTTCAGAAGATAATCAGAGTCCAATACTGCAGTACCACGTCGTGATCCCGAGTTATCCAGCGGCAGGAGCATGCGCGCCGACCACATCAAATGTATTACCGGAACAACATCAATATTCCCCGAACATGTATTGGGAAACTCAGCCGGTTATTCCGCCGGGCAATGCTCCGGCACAACAGTGGCAGCCTGCAGTACAAGGTCTTCCTCCGCAAGAAGCAAGTTATACTCCAGCAGCATCTGTTCCGTCGCAACTAACGGAACATCATCAATATTCCCCGTACATGAATGGGGAAACTCGTCCAACTGTTCCTCTGGACAATATCCCGGAACAGTATCTGCAACAAGAAGTACTAGCTCCTCTTCTACGGGAAGCAAGTCATAATTCAGCAGAGCAGCCGGCCCAGGATGTTCACAACGATCACAATAACTTTTCATGGCCTCAGCTTGAACTCGGAGACCAACTCTTGTTACCATTGTAAAATAAATTAATTTGTTAAATAAATTTTGTATACAGAAAGCATCTTTTTGATTTACTTATAATTTGTTCCCATTACAGTCTTCATGTAAATTTCAGAAGTCGATTATTCAATCGTCTTAGAATTGAGTTAACCATTAACACATAATTTATTAACAAAGTCACAGAGAAAAACTCAAGTTTGGCTTACTAATACAGAATCCAAAACTTTTTGTCTTAGAATAATTTTGGAAAGTAGAATCGAGTCGTTGGTAGTTCGGATCGAATCGGAGGAAGTAGGACATCCGTATGAAGTAGAACTGGGTCTCTAGTCTATTTAAAAAAATTGAAACGTCGTCAGATTAAATATTACAACTTTGATTAAATGTTACTGGCTCCCCAACCAAAGACTTTCCCAGGTTCCAGGGCACAATGTATACGCCATTTGCCGCATATTTATGGTGGACCGTCTATATAGTATAAGTCTACTTAAACGTTTGTCTTGCATTTCATTATTCGATAAAAATAAAAATTGTACAATAATAATCTTCTTTCTATAATGCTTAACAATTCCGTTTGAATTTGTAGACGATTTGTTACTACTATAATTGTTAATATCATTGCTTTGTTTGTTAATATCTCTAATATATTTGATACGGCAATTCAATGAGGTCTTTGGAAATATGAGCTGGCTGTTCAGCAGCAGCTATTCCTTCTTCCGTTTCGGGAGAAGCTTTGATTTTAAGCTGGTTATGAAGTTCAAGAAAACCTGTTTTGGATGGTGGTATTTCCTAACCCATACGACCTTCAAACCTTCAAGAACTATCGACCTACGACAGTTTATTGTCGTGTCCATGGGCGGCGCCGATGACTGACCATCAAATGATTTGTCTGATTATTTGCCTGGTATTCCATAAAAATACGATATCGGTTGGTAACTTAAAAAAATATATATGTCACCGGAAAATAACAAGATCCGTAAGTTTATCAATTTACTAGGAAGTTTATAAACTTTCGTAAGATTTTAAACGGGAGTTAAATTGTAATATTTTACGTCCACATTTTCGTAAATTTATCAATTTCCGACGTCATACGGTAAATTTATAAACTAACGAATATCTCTTCGTAATATTTTATATCGTTCGATCAATCACAGAAACTCTTTTAAATATACGATCTTTGAAATACGTAAAATAACACACTGCTCCCTGATCGGTCAATGTTCATAGTGGCAATGCTTGTGTCCATAGACTTTGGAATAATCAGATTTGACAAACTATAAATTGGAAGCAACAATGCCTGGTTTCTCTCTGGCACGGATGTAGTGAGTTGAGTTTTCTATTATCAGTTTCAATATGCTATTTAAAAGTTACTCGCTAAAATACAGTTCCGTGCCCCGTCCCAGCAATGGCGGCCGCGAAGAAGGAGAAGTGACACGTGACAGCCAACCAATCAGATCGCGCGTAGCGTTTGGTTACTGCTTACTTATTATTTTACGAGTGACTTCAGTAAGTTTATCAATTTACGAAAATGTGGACGTAAAATATTACAATTTATCTCCCGTTTAGAATCTTACGAAAGTTTATAAACTTCCTAGTAAATTGATAAACTTACGGATCTTGTTATTTTCCGGTGACATATATACTATTCAATATGTTAATTTATATTTAAAATGTTACTGTAGTTGTATTATATTTAAAATGTTAATGTAAAAAAACTACGTTTTAAAAAACCGACTTCAAAATAAAAAAATGTGTCAAATAATTAAAATAGATATTTTAATACCACTCTTACGTACGCGGGGCGAATTACTTTTGATATTAATAATAAAACACTATCGATTTTATGTGCTAACTATTCATAGGTTTGAAGTCGGTGCCAAGCCCTAAACAGAATAAAACTAAATGAGAATTAATAAGAAAATGTTCAAATAAAATATTTTAAACTAAAATAAATACCAGAATGAGCAACTACAGCTGTTACTAATCCTATCTTATATGTTATGAATGAATAGAATACACACGTAGCACTGAAAAGGGCCGTTTGGTAAGCGTCTTGTGTGATGAGCAAACAAAACGACTGTTTATGTTTAACTGCTAAAAGACGAAATTTCCGCAAGCAACAACGAAGTTACTACTACTTTTAATAAAGTACGAGACAAATTTCGGAATTTAAAATTCACCCAAACTAATCTCAATTACTAAATAATTATCTTTCTAAGCTATATAGTTTCGCTGGTAACGAAACCGTATACCTAGACTTCTGATTCGACGCTAAGGCCATCAAGTTAGAAAATCGGTACTAAATTTCTTAAATCCTAACAAATAAATTCGGCGAGTGTAGGTACTCATGTATCATGCTTATTATATTATGTATTAGGCTTGGCACCGATTTCAAACCTATGAATAGTTAGCACATAGAATCGATAGTGTTTTATTATTAATAACAAAAGTAATTAGCTCCGCGTACGTAAGAGTGGTATTAAAATATCTATTTTAATTATTTGACACTTTTTTGTTTTTGAAGTCGGTTTTTTTAAACGTAGTTTTTTTTATTTATTAACGCGTCGCGTCGAGCGCGGCTATCGTTACACAAAAATAATCCTTATAGCTGATCAGTGTTCACATGTGACGGCGCGATGGCTTATTATCCGAACTGCTAAGCTATCAGGAGTTAAGTATACGTGCTATTGTGAGATAACCATACAAGATAGACATAAATACTGTAATACAATATTTTTTAGATAATTTTATGGAAAATATTTTCGTCATATCTAATTTCCATGTAACTTTAACTATCACTCCGGTCGAGCCGACCCATTCATGCTAAAGCATAGCTCTCCCACAAATTGTAAAAGTATCATTTTTTGTACCAAGTCAGTAAAAGTGTGTCCACATTTTCGTAAATTTATCAATTTCCGACGTCATGCGGTAAATTTATAAACTAACGAATACCTATTAGTACCATTTTATCTATGGACGGACGGATAGCGGAGACTTATTAAGCAATACGGTTTTTACCCATTGGAATCATACAAATGAAACAAATTTTAGGTATACTTCGATTTTATTCCATAGCTATTGCTGTTTTTATCAACACAGCACGCGGGCGAAGCCGCAGGTGGTTTATAATAATAAATAAAAAAAAATTAAATATAAAAATATAATAACAATATAAATATATATTTATAGTAAGTTGGTGAACGTAGCGTGGCCCACCTGTAAAAGGCTCTCCTTTTTACCTCCTTTACCCTCTGGTAAAATAACTAAACGACCCATACTCACAGTATCCCTAGGTAGTAATTATATCAGTATTATCTTTATGCATGACCTCGCAAAGCTGCACGGCTGCACGCATTCTTAGCGTATTTCATGTATAAGTTTGGTGTTTCCACATTGATTTCTATCCTCATTTTTTATTGAATTTGTATTAATGTAAACTTTTTTAATTTAGGTTGAGTGAGAATATTATAAACGTAAGAGCAAACAAATATAATCAGTATGCTCCGAACTGTTAAGCTATCAGAAGTTACACGTGTTATTATGAGTATAAAAGATAGCCATATGCTGTAGTGCAATATTTTTTAGATAATTTTATGTAGAACATTTCCGTCATACATAATTTTTATGTAACTGTAACAATTATGGTTGCATACGCAAAGAACGCTAAAAAAATTGAGTAACTTCTTCCGTTTTCCCAACATTTACCTTCACTGCTCTGCTCATATTAGTATTAGCTTAATGAAAAGTACCTTATAATCTGCCCAGGAAAATAAAGAATAATTGTACCTCAATATTAAGAGTAATAGTAAATCTGTCGAGTAGTTTTTGTTTCTACAAGGAACATACAGACAGAGAGACAAAAATTTTACTGATTGAATTTTTGGCATCAGTATCGATCACCAATCACCCCCTGATAGTTATTATGAAAACATATTTCATGTACAGAATTGACCTTTCTACAGGTTTATTATAAGTATAGACTATAATGATTACGAAGTGCGGGACGAAGACAATATATTTGTGTCTAATGTATAACTTTGGATAACAACATTTTAAACTACTGAAAATAACGGATTTTATTAATGGACACTTTTATTTATTTTATTGATTAGGAATTAAATCTTATTATATAACTATAATGATTTAATTTTAGAAGCTAAATAAAAAGTGTAAAATGTTTGAGACATTGCTTTTATTTAACAAATTAAAAATAATTATTGATATCCACATCTTCAAAATACGTTGAACACGGCACGTCGATGAGGTCTCCAGGAATATGTTCAGTCGGCTGTACTGCTGCAGGCGGTCGTCCTTCCGTTTCTAAATGAACCTTATCCTCATATACACGCGATGGGTCCGAAATGAAATGTTGTGGGGACGGCACATTATCCGTTGGTGCAGCTAGACCTGTTTGCCTTGTCTTGTACTGCTGTTCAAGGAGAAATAAGTTCCGAATGATTTCTTCTTTAGTATACCCCAATGTAGTAACTTCTTGAGAATCTAGTAGCGGAATTAGCTGTTCTTCTATAGACAGATTTTCTTCTGAATCGGGATAAGCTATGCATTTAGAATGGTCATGTTGTTCAGGGATACTGGCAAATGGAGTCGTATCCCCATACATACATGATCGCTCCGGATTGAAATAAGGTGAGGAATGTTCATCTTCAGTTGGACTCGGAACTGTGTGCCTTGCCATGTACTGCTGTTCAATGAGGAACAGGTTCTGAATAATTTCTTCTTTAGTAGACCCCAATGAAGTAATTTCCGTTTGAGTATGAGGCAGAACATGTGGTTCAGGCGATTCCTGCACATTGCTTGGGGAAACAAAGAGCTCATTGTTCCCATGCATGTAATGGGAATAATCATAATCTTCCGATGTGCAATTTTGAACAGACGGTACATTTTCAACTGGATATGTTTGCGCCACGTTCGTGTAGTAAAGCATCGGCTGCGGCACTGCTTCATAAACATCTCCAAAGGATTCTTGAGCCTCCGCAAGCTCCCTTTTTTCTTTCATGCGCCGGTTTTGGAACCATATCTTTATTGTATGTTCCTTGAGCTGTAGTCTGTTTGCCAGCTGCATTCGTCGAGGTTGGCTGAGGAAGCGGTATTTTGCGTATTCTGTCTCCAGCTCATTCAGTTGCGACGTGGTAAAACCGGTCCTTACTCGCTTCGGTTTTCGCGGTAGAAATTTTGAGGGCTGAGGTTTAGCCCAGCTAGCCGGCTGCATACAGAGCCAAGAGCGATAGTCCAGAAGTCGACGTGGCTTTTCTTGAGGTTGAGAAGGAGGCATTGCCACGGATGCGGTACCCGGTTGTAGAAGTGTTTGGAGTTGATAAGAAGGATTCATAGCGTAATGGTTGGGAATGTGAGCCTTATGTAGAAAGTAATACACTCTATGAAGACACAGTTAACTATGACGCCAGTCAGGACTGTTCTATAATTTATATGGTTCGTAACCCTTGATGTACTGTGTAATTAGCCAGCAGGAAAAATGTGTGGCAAAGTGATTAACAAATTAATGTTAATTTTTAATACAATTCATGGTTTCTTGATTTTTTCTAACTTTAACGTTTATTACAACATTCACCAAAATTTTTGTCAAAAATAATTAGTAGGTAACAAAACTATTTAGAGATATTAGAATTAAGACTTCTTAATTTTAAGGTAAACTAGAATTAATGTCTTTATTGCTTCACAAAATATGTTATAATGAGCCCCGTGTACCTACTTAGTTTTCAAATTAGTTACATCTGTGACTAATGGAATAGAAAGTAGATAAATAATTATTCTACATTAGTACCGATCTACCTCTTTAATGAAACTTTTCAAAAAGTAGGAAACACAAAACAGCCGCAACAATATAAATACAACACACAAAAAGTATTACCTAGGACTACTTAATATAAGAATTGATAAAATGTTCAACGAGCAATAATCGCACCTCGGATTAACCTCATTGGTTTCAATATTGCCTCTTCGTAAAGTATAAGTAAGTATAAAGATAATATTTAGTATTATCAGAGTAAAACTTAACTAAAAACCCTTTACTGAAATAAAAAATTTAGTTTCAAGACACATCTGAAACCCAAACTATTTTGTAAATTGAGAAAGACGCCATCTAGTATCAACTCTCTTAACTAGAAACTAGGCTTTGAACAAACTTACGAGTACAACTTTGAGACAAAATATTGATTTCAGCAAACACGAAATATGCCTATTTTTTTGTTATATCCAGTATTTCTTACTGACTCATTAATTATAAAAAGACTAGACAGAAAGCAAGAAAGTAGAAATAGATTATCTTTATAAAATTAATAGGACTGTGACTGACTCATGTACTCTTGAAAACTTACGTTCATAGAGGATGTTGTGTTAGCGTGGCGTGTTTCAATAGAACAACCTTTCTCGCGATTGAAATAACTTCTCTGTAAATATACAGATGGCGTAACGTGTAGCTTTGTTATAATGGTCTCTGAAAAACTGAGAAATGTCTAAGTAGCCAAGATAATATATCTAGTGTTAGGTAATATTTTTATGAAAAGACATATAGCTGATTTATAGTTATATACTTTTACTGGCTTTTTTTATTGACTAATCAGTTTCTGTCATAAATATTTTTATGTGAAACCTTTCATCTATTTATATATATTATATAGTATCGTAAGTTCCGTTGTGACAAGAATCTATTAGACTTTTTCTTTGTACTTAATAAAATGTTAATAATTATTTTTAATAAACATACAAATAATTCTGAAGGTTATATATAAAAAATATAAGGATTATATATAAAATATATTTGTGTATATTACTAAACCGAATGTATGGTAATTTTTTATAACTATCCTATTTTAATTACCTACTAATCTTATAAATCGTAGGCAGTCTTGTCATAACAATAATCACTAGATACTTATAACTTGTAGTATAAAGTCGTACCTATATTTTATGAACCTATATTTACAAATATATATACAGTACTTTACGACAGATCACGACAACGCTTGACGAATGTAGAATATTTCGCCAAAGTACTTTTGCTGTGGCCTATGCCTGAGTTTGCTTATATTGAATAAACGTGAGTTGAATAGGGCGCCAGGGTTGTCGCGCGTCCGCATCTTAATTTAATAAAAAATATTTGTTATTATGATTTATCAATTTCAAATATTATACCGTAATTATTTTTACTTATTAAAATTAAATAATTTTATTAGATATTTTTTATTAAATGTAAAAAAAATATATGACAAAATATTTTTTTTCTTTTATTACATCAAATATTACTTACTTTGTATATTTTAAAGTAAACATAAAAAATATCTACATAGCAGCCATAACTATGTTCGAGTTTATGCACTAATTCTTTACAAATTGGAGGCGGAGTTTAGCACAACAATAGATTAGAAAGAGACGGAGATATGACTTGTCAATCACCGCAACAAAGGGAGAAGGGGATAATCCCTATTGTCAAAAGATGTTTACATGTTTCTTGGTGAGTAAATAGTATTTGTACATTTATCTATGAATAACTGTCTGTTAAATACTCATTGTAGCCATATTTTGATATTTTTTTTGTTGTTTACCTTTTAGAGACAAAGATTGAAAGTTAAACACATATTTTCTAATCACAAAGAGTTATTGTTGGTATTATTATTTAGTTGCCAACGAAAAGTTTATTACGGGTACTAAAAGGTTTATAAGGAACATAAGTATTTTTTTTCTATGTCGTTTTTCATTTGTTCTACTACGTCGCCTTCTATGGAGCACGCCTACCTTTACCAACCTATTTACTCAGGCCTTGAGACACCTCGGTTATATTTTATTTACTGTTTGGGGAACACAGAATTCCTCCTGTTGGTGGATTGTTAGTATAGGCTATTAGGCGTTTGTGCTACAAGAGTTTATAGCAGTTTTCAATGAAACAGAATAAAACAATTTATAAGGCAAAGGGAATTTTGATTAAATTTCCTGATAATAAGAATACCCTGTAAACTTTCTAATATCTGATATGATGATGACTGATAGGTATAGCCAAATATACCATAGAAAAAAGGCTGAATGTCTGTAAATACTACATACATGAAGAAATTTAAAATAACTAAGTTTTACGTAGGTTTTTAGTAAGTAATTTGTCTCTCTGCAAATACTGCCTAGGATTTAGAAATGTTATAGGTAATTATTATAAAACTTTAGATTGTGTAACATCAGAATTAAAAAAATAAATGTTTAACAAAATTAGTGGCGGTGCAGCCCTACGCAGTAGACGGCGCGAAAGATCATCAATCATCGTGGCAAGACAATCACAACCGGCGACACATCTGCCGCGCTCGCACCCCGCGGTACCGCGCACACACCGCGCAGTATCGGTGCAACTCTGCATCGATACTACCAGATTACTAAGTACCCGTTATTAACACCAATTCGAAACTTCCCGTGGGTATCATAAGAGCTCACTAAGGGACAATACTGATCCCTTTAATAGCGATGATCATTCCTTACTTTACTTTCTTTATATTAAGTACCTGCTTTAAATTTTATTCAACATTATAAGTATTAAGTACTTATTATCTTTATATATACGCCTGTTACACACAATCAATTTCACTAAAACATTGGGCATCTATTTCCCCACCACCATAAACTTATGCATATAATTCATACAAGTAGGTAACGTTCTATAGTTCTATACCCATTAAAATCTTTTTCGTATCTAACGATTTCTAGACATTGTAGAACAGGGCCTTAAACTGGGTACACGAAAGTAAAAGTGATCTACATGTATAAGCTGAACATAAACAAGTACCTATAACCTATGTATAATATATGTACTTATAGCCATAGCTGTGCCTGTGCCAAAGTTAGGTACACATTTTAATAAAATAGCAAATTTTATTCCAAGCTCACACGAACATTAATAAGACCAACCCTCTCGGTTTTAATCTTAACGCACACCTAGTTACTTTCTCATAAAAAATCGCTTTCCATATTTCACTAGTACAATATCGTAATATTACGAAGGCGCCGTCTTAATAAACATTTTTTTCTTCGTCATATGAAAATGACATTCGGGCGTCACGTGTGACATTGATGAAAAAATATAAAAGAAATGATGGGATCGACGGCAAGCTTCCTATCCGTTGCTTATTCCTTATCTTTATAGGGGCAGCCCTAATACATTATGTATGTGCGACTGGATATGCGGAAACGATTGCGAAAACTATTTAATTTATAGTTTTTAATAGTAAACTCAACAAAACTCTGCCGATTACCTGCGCAAGGTCCTCGCATATGACCATTTCGGCACGGACAAGGAACTTTTTTATTACAGGCCGTCAAACAATCAAACTGATGGTAAGCAATCGGCGTCGTCCATTGACACCTGCAATGACAACGGAGTTCACAAGTACGTTGTTACCTTTTGCTAAAGACATACCCTTGGAAAGACTGAGAGTGAATATTACGGTAAGCGGTACCAGTCCTCGACTATCAAGCAATCCGCCTGCTTTATTTACCTCTATCTTTCTTACCTCATCATTTTAAAACGACTCCGCCAGTAGCCACAGTACCAAAGTGAAATATGGCCTATAATCCATGTTAGTAGCAAATTTCATTCAAATCTCTTCAGTAGTTTATACGTGAAAGAGTAACAAATATTCACACGTACCTGCAAACCTCCGTGTCTATAATATTAAGTAGGATTATGTTCATATAATAATATGCTATATTATGGACAAGCCACACAACACCAGTATGGTAACAAAAAGAATATAGCAGTATCCCGATTGTGTTTGACAAATGAGCATCATTATTTGACAGACGGCAGCGCAGTGTCGACATGTTGTATCTTTTGTTTTATTAAACTCACCCTCCATTGATGTTATGAGGGATGATGGTACATGATGCAAACTTGTATTATGAGCTAACGCTGCTTTTGTTTTCGTAAGTAGATACTTATATAGACACAAGTAATGTAGTTAAAAAACTGTTATTTGGTATTTTATTTTAGAGCGACATTTATTTTTCGTCTAATGCTCAACTGTATTAATTCGAAACTTGAATCAATCTGGCGTTCAATTCTAGTTCATATTACCGACGTCCTCTACCTAGGTGACAATTATGTGCTACCCTCACTAATACGACTAGCATTATAACAACCGGGGGCCTATAAGTGCCCCAGCTAAGCAAAATAATGCCTCTTTCTACACTGACAATGTTTGAACATTACTTACCACGCTTGCTTAAGGCGGATTGATTCCTCACGGTATCAGTACTTAATCACGTGTAAGTCTAATA